GACTGCAGATAGTTGTTCTTCAAACCTAATATTGATTTTCTGATAGGTCTTTTCAACGCATGCCTTATCGCAGTCACCATGCTCGACCCTGTAAACCGCATTTAGTCTTTTCTTCAGGTTGCGGCGGGTATTTTTCTTGAATAGAAGCATCTTGAAGCTCATGCCAGTGTTGTAATGGACATAGACATTTAATCCCATGTTGTTGAGATCTCTCCTAATTGGTTCAGATATTTGGGTTAGGTATGGTCAAGATGCCACACGCTAGTTCTCTCACGGCTTCATGAAGTCGAAGCTGGGGTGCAGTCGTTCGTTATCGAGTGTCTCCGTTAAGAGACTTTTGTCATTTGGATGATCTAGGTCAGATTCGCTGCAGGTGTAAAACGCCACTGATTTGTATTCAGCTTATGTTTTAGGATATGTGCTCCTTTAATCACGGGGTCGCTTTGTAATACATGCAGCTGGTAGAATTGTTCCAAATATTTTTTCTTTTTATGACAAAATAATTGTGTATGTCAGTGCATCGATTCACTCTCTTAAAAACTTGCGGCGTGGTGCTCACTCTTTCGGGTGCAATCACTCCTTCAATAAGACGAATATGTCTGTAGTAACAAAGATCGATCAAAGCTTGATCTGTTGATGAAATAGTCCCCGCATGGGGATGATAATGAAACGTCGTACGTGTTATTAAACCTTTTTTTGTAATGATTAGTGAAAGCTGAGCTAAAAGCTAGACGAACTTTATGAAAAAAATTTGGTAAGATTACATGAGTGGCAGAGATTAAATGCTATAAGTAAAAGTTATGAATGTTATTGTAAAATTTTAGTGTCAGTCATTTGAGCATATAAAGACCTAGTAGCCTAATTATCAGTTGTACCTTTACGATACTACGGAGTTTATAGCGAAATGCTTTGGTACTAAGTTTGCTAAACTCACTGGTTTAGTACCCTTAGCTATGGATTAGCAGCGCATCTTTAATGTCAGAAGTTTTGTGCCATTCAAGAATTTATTGAGATTCCCTTCCATTTCTAATATACTGCCTTTTCCTTTAATATTACTGTAACTACTATCGCCGCATTTGCTGTTGAAAGTCTTGCTTTCTGTAATCATATTTAATATTGAATCGAATACTGAACACAGCGTAAAGCACGGGTTATTTATACGCAAGAAAACAAATTTGTAAATCGGTTGATTAACCAGTTTCGACCTTTCGACCTCTGTCTCACGGGCCTTCTTTAAGGTAGGTAGGTTGGTAGGATTCAGCAGTTTCTTATGTCGTTTGTTGCAGAAAGCCATCTTTTGGTTCATGCTTCTGTCGAAGTAGTTTCTTGATGACAGTGGCGACAGGGTTTGTTCATTCTGCATTCTTTGTCACGGTTAATATTGTCGCTGGACTGGATGAGTAATGCGTCCTTAACTCGCGTGTTAAACCAGCGTTCTTTCTCTGATGATGCCGGGACGCTTTGACCGTTAGAAGCGCGTTCTGTCCTTCGTTGCACAATCGCAGAGAGCTTTTCGTATTGTTCCCTGAGCTGACTGGGGGCACTGCTTTGTTTTCTTTCTGATCGCTTCTATGTCACGCATCGCTCAAGATCATCCGCAGTCACCCGTCTTTTCCAGCTTGACAGATGGAGCTTTTTTTCTTTCAGTGACTATGTTCCTTTGTTTCCCGCTGTTACACTGTTCTTTATTAGCCCAACCTAGGGAGTTGTTATCCGGAGAATTTCTAATAAAACATGAAGCTTACTATAGCGTTCATAGTGAACTTGATATTTTATTCAATTTTGTGCAAACTTGGTAATTTTTCATTATCGATTTTCTGATAAGAGTGATTAAGTTAGGTTTATTATTAAAGATATTATTTTCTGACATAACTTGTGATTCAAGTTAATTTAAATACGCCATTCTCCGGACTATGACGAATTCACGAATTTGACTGAATAATATTTATCACATACGTTTAATAAAATCTAATATGGTGTATTTCTTTTTTAAAAAATTCATTACTGCGGAGCGTCAGCGCTCTGCCTATTAAAGATGCCA